TTCGTAACCTAAACGTAAAGAAAGGAATTTCTCAAGAATTAATTCATTTTATTTTTTATCCGACATACTTTTAGTGAATACCCGTATTTGAGTAAACGTTCTGTTTTATTTTAAACAATATTATTTTTGTCTGCCGACCCGTAAACTCTAGAAACATTTCTTTAACAGGTTTTATCGAGTTTGCAGTCCGGTAGACGAAATACTGTTTAAAATAAAAAAGGAGTGTCTATCGACTCAAATACGGGGATCCACTAAAAATAACGCCTGACGTAATAAAGATACATGTGTATACACATATATATGTCTTTGTTGTTTTTAATAGTTTTAATAAATAAAAAAAGTTTCAAAAGCACCACCTATCGTTCTTATTCTGTGGTTATCAAATATTTAATTAGACATTATCGGCAGTTATTCACTCAGTGACCAATCCGTGTTGAAGAAAAACGAACATCGGTCACCGTACTGATATATCTAAAAGATAAGCGCCATTTTGAAACGTGCAGCAGACAAGGGAAAGCCTTATGTTTTCAAGAAAGCGACAAGAAAATTAAAATGGAGACAAAAAGAGGGAAAATAAGTACTAAATAACAGACTGCATCTAACGTAATGGATATTTCCAGACCCAACCAATATACTCTGGGGAATGTCAAGGTTCCTTGATATCTCTTACTATTTTCTCTTCTTTATCAATTTTAGATAGCCACACACAGACGCCTCCTTGAAATGGTGGTAAAGATAGCTAACTGCAACGCTACCTGTCGACACTCACATCACTCTAAGTTTCGAATTTAATTACAAAGTTGTAAAATTATACAGGAAATACACAAGAAATAACATGTAGTAGAATGAGAAAATAGAGTTTCAACAGTTAAGGATCATTTTATTGTTATTGCTTCTATCAAAGAATTTCATTCCTGGAATTGATATTCTTGGAGTTTACCAAATATATATGGGCAGTTTCACTAAGTAGTACAGCAATTTACCCGAATATTAAAAACAAAAATAAAGAACGGCTGGTGTGGAGTGTGGAGAACGTAAATGAAACGAAAAAAGAAAATATGCTACTAACGTATAGGAATATATTTCTCAGACCCTGAAAAAACAAGGCTAACGAATTTAATAAATGTGTCTTTACTCATAATTCAAACAAGTCATTTTGTAAATGGCTCTGCATTTCCCAAATAGCAATAAAACATCTTCTCTTCACGGCATCTATCCCAGAACTTTTCTCTGTACCGACTGATGCGTCATTCATTGGCTGTTAATGATCACATGCCCTTCCAAACGATTTGCATACTAATTAGGGAAGCGGAAGAGGAGTTAAGCAAACACTATGAAGAAATTGATTTTTTTTTACATGAAAAGATTACTGAGCTGTTACGTGACATCTGTTCTTCTTTACGTCAGCAAATGTTGCGCGATTTCCTCAAAGATGAAGAAGAGACTCGAGGCGACGGAGATGTGACTCTACAGAAGGATGCTAAGGATATCATGGACCGAGCGTGTGAGCAACGATGAGGTTTTAGAGAGGATGCAAACAAGGAGGAGGCTTATACTTAACATCAGGAAGAGGCAGCTGAAGTTTCTGGGACACATAATGAGGAAAGAGGGCCTGGAGAATCTGATACTCACAAGTCAAATATAGGGGAAAGGAGACAAAGGAAAGCAGCGCGTGACATACCTGACGAGCTTGAGCAGGTGGATGACAGAATGTGGTCTGGGGGAGGAAGCAGAGGGAAGGAGCTTGCTGAGAGCTGCAAGGGATAGAGGGAGGTGGAGAGCCATGATCGCCTACGTCCTGAAAGGACACGGCACATAAAAAGAAAGAATTACCAGCCAGAACTTAAGTCGTGGTTGACAGTTTTTATTGTGACACCGATTACGACTTACCTCGTATCGGCTACCACTTATCTCGTGCCGGCTACCACTTATCTCGTGCCGGCTATGAGTTATCTCGTACCGGCTACGACTTATCTCGTGCTGGTTACGACTTATCTCGTACCGGCTATGAGTTATCTCGTAACGGCTACCACTTATCTCGTGCCGGCTACGAGTTATCTCGAGCTTGGCATCTTTTGATACATTTTCATACTCGGTCGCCAACAACAAGTTTATTCACAGCTATACATTTAGTGTAAATTCAATGTTACGACTTCAGATGAAACTATAAATCAGCTTATTTTTTTTTTATTGCCTAAGTTGGATATTATAAAGTTGTCGTTTGAAGTCACATTTCGTAATTGACCTCTGAAGGTCAACGCGTTAAATGGCTATTCTATTCTATAATTTCTAGCTGGTTTTTAATACCCTGTCTAGCTGGGGAATCAATGACACACATCACACCCCTGGAAGGGAGAAATAACACAGCTGATGGTTCTTAAGAATTCAGTTTTTTCTTTCATTCATACAGAAAAAAAACATTTAAAACGAAATGAACAATATAAACATGCAGTTATAAATAGCAGTTTACCAATTCAGATCGTGGATGAGTAATAAAACTTATCTTTAAAGAATTTAAAATAAAAACAGCATAAGAAATATTGTTCATGAATTCTTGTACCCTTTAAGATTTTGCATCTCCAACAATAATAATAAAAAACAACTTTAAATTCTTACATTGGCCACATAACCACAATACTTTCTCGAAGGTAACTTATCACTTATCGAAACTTAGTGTTGTTCGTACACATCAATTATCATATCACATCTATCATATCAAAAACAACCAAAATTTTCGTAACATACTATACTAAACATATTTGAAACTATCATTATATAAAAGAAGCAACTCACAATAAATATAATATTTTTACCCAGAACGGCATTTTAAAACCATATGTCGTTTTCGTTGTACCTGTTATAAATAAAATAATTTTCAACAACGATTTTTCTCTGACGAACGGCTGGCCGAAAGGTTGCTTAGAAATTTCTCCCTTAACCCCCTTTTTAGTATTAAAATGTTGACGTCTGTCCTGTTTAAGACATATATGTATGGATGTATGAATGGATGGATATGAAGACAGACTGTCCAGAGAAACCAATACTACACGGTGACTGTGAGTTTCCCGCGTCAAGCGATCTTCGGACACGTGATCTGAAGATCATTTTATTCGAGAAATTGACTATCGCAGTGTTGAATGTTCACATTTTTATATGTGTTCTGTGTGTGTTTTAATGTGCGCGCGTGCGTGTCTGTGTTGCGTATATTTTATTTTGACATCATCTTTTCATTAAGACATGTCTTAATAAATAATTTAGACAGGTTTATGGTGCATTATTGGTAAAAATGTAACTTGTATTATCTTAACGGTTATTGTCAAGGTGGCGTGAAGGTTGTGTTCAAGCCTGAAACAGACTGTCGCCACTCGGTATTGACCTCAGTATCAACTTTTATATTTCCATTAGCTTTATACCTGACATTCGAGCACATTTACCCATAAATATATCATACCTTAAAACTATAATATTATCACACACATTCACACACTCTCTCTCTCTCTCTCTCTCTCTCTCTCTCTCTCTCTCTCTCTCTCTCTCTCTCTCTCTCACACACACACACATATATATATATATATATATATATATATATATATATATATATATATTATGTGAATAAATTTCCGGTATACTGATTTTGAGCGGAGATCGAATCTGCAAACTGAAAGTGCGTAGGTTCGATTCGCCCTAATTAATCCCTGCATTTTATCTCATTGCTAGATATACTGAGAAAAATGACACGTCTATAACAGAATACAATGATTAATCGAGAAAAAAGTAGCTACGTGATCGCTGAGACAAATCTTTTCCCCCATAACTACATTCCAGTCAGCAATTTTAAATTTTAACTTTTTATCGGTTTAAACTTGGCTCGCAAAAATGTTTTCTATAGAAGATTAGAAGATTTTGAATTAATAAAAATGTTTTGCTATTTTTTACTAGGCTCTACTTTTTCATGTACACACACACACATATATATATGAAAAAAGATATATCTATATATATTTAAGGTAAACGTTCCAGTCAACAGAGAGCGGCGACAGTCGGTCGTATGCTTAAACTCTTAATCCTAAGGTTCTATATATATATATATATATATATATATATATATACACATTTCATATATATATATATATATATATATATATTTCAAGTCGCTGAAGGACGTTAACGAAATCTCAAGTCATATATATATATATATATATATATATATATATTGTCACTGAACGACCATAACGAAATCTCGGAGTTCCTCTGCGCCATTACCTCTCGGCGATAATTTCTTTCTCTCAGCGTGGGAAACCGATATTTACTTCATGAATTCAGCATTTTGTATCATTTATTCACTATTCACCTATCCTTTCTCTGAAAATGCAAATTAACATATTGAGATTAATCTCAGACCATCCTCACCAGCACGTGCCAAATGGTTTTTGTATCTACTGTTTTGACTCTTCGAATTATTTTTTTTTTTTACAATAATGTTCACCCTGTACAATGTCAGTCAACTACTTGCCTTAGAGGGTTTCAGAGTAAGAGGGGCAGTTTGGTAAAGAATATGGTTAACCCTAGATTTGACCTGCTTAAGATTGTAGTGATCAGGAAAACATCCTCTTGGGAGTCTGGTCCACAGAGCAGCGGTTCGTGGGAAAAAGCTTTTCGAGTGGAACTTATATCTCTCCAATGGAATACGAAGAAAATGTGGTTGGCTCTCTACAATGTGTGGGAACTGGCCGTGAAATGTTAAAACTGCTAGAACAAAGGGGGTGTAGTACATCTGAACACTTTCCATGGAAATAACTATAGAGCAGTCAGAGGCTTTCGACGTTTCGTCTGTGAAAAAATAGTTATAGGGTGGAAAATAATTTGTCACCCACAAGGATGCAGAGACGTTTTTGGACTCTATCGAGACTGGTCAGTGAATACTGGGTAGCTCCTGTCCATATATGGCAAAAGTATTCCATTTTTCGCTTTATCTGAGCCGTAAATTGGTACGATAAAAAATGATCAGACATTTTGATTGTTTTCCTTTCAAGAAGATAAACCAGTTCAAAACAGAGACAAAGCTGCAGAATTCGGCTTCAGAAAGTTTTTTTTTACTGTTTTTTTTCTTTCTTTTCCAACCCATCACTTTATTTCCCCTCCAAACTTTCTTTCCCTCTTTCTTTCCTTTCAAGAACTATTTTCTGTTCCCCTTCATTTTCTCTCATTTTTCCATCTACCTCTTCACTGTATTCCTCCGCATTCGTTCTTTTCTCTCCACTTCTTTTTTCTCACCTTCTGTGTTCTCCCCATTCCCCTACTGTTTTTCCTTCTCCGCATCCTCTTCTATCTTCTCCTTCACCTGTTCTTTCTTTTCCCCTTTAGCCTTTCTTCCTCTCCTTCACCTATTCTTTCTTCTCTTCTCTCCTTTTTATTCTCCCCTATCCCACTTTTATCTTCTTCCTCTCCTCTATTTCATCTTCTCCGCCAATTATTCTTTCTTTCCCTTTTCACATATTCTTTCTTTCATTCTTTCTAGTCTTTCTTCTTCACTTCTTCTGTCTTCCTCTTCCCTCTATTTTTCTCCCTCTCCACTTTTTTCTTTATTCTTTTCCTCCGCCTTTTCTTTTTTTCCCTCCACCTCTTCTTTCTTCTTCTTCCTCTTCCTCTCCACTTATTCATTGTTTTCCTCTTCCTCTTCTTAATGTCTTCGGTTTTACGCGGAATTCGAAAAACTCGTCTAATGTCTACAACAAAAACTTCGAACGTTTCTCATTAAAATAGAAAGAGGTGATAAAAGCTTTTAAACCTTGCTTACCATATTCTGGACAACGCAAAATGGGGCGATTCTTAACAATTACGGGATATAAAGAAATTCATTTCAGCAGTTATGCCAACGGACGACATTTGAATATTAGTAATTCAATAAATACGAGAAGTGTTCTTTCTTTAGTCGTTTTTTTAGCAGCCTAAACATTCTCCATTGTATTTTATTGAAAAAATATCCAATTAAGGTTAACTTCATTAGAAATATATACAGTGAGAATTGTAATCGAGTGAGAAAAAAAAGCGACACACATGACTTATTACCAAAGGAATCATCATTTGCTTTAAACAGAGTAAGTGTATCTTTAAAAGTGTAGACAATAAGTAATAGTATTTATTTTTATGATTTTAGCTTGTATAAAACTTGTATAAAAGAGGGATTGCTACACAAATACACATTTATTATATATATATATATATATATATATATATATATATATATATATATATATAGGCAAGGTCTATCTGTCCAACGTTTTCTTTACTTTTTTCAACTTCTGACTAAATTGTTTTATGTCCGAATTAAAAATCCTTTTATGCTTTCGCCTTTTTTATTTGGCTCTACAGCGAAGAAAGACAATAATACAACAAAATTCTCTCATAAGAAGAACAACAAAAAAGAAGGAATTGACAACAAATTACAGGAATAACCATTTAAGAGGAAGACCTCTTTTAAATGAAGAACTGTTAAAAGTTACTCAAACGGAGAAGCATAACAGAAAGTTTACCATTTTTTATTCTGACATAAAACAAATTACTCAGAAGTTGTAAAACCTAAATAAAAAGTTAGGCAGTAGGCATTGTCGGCAATGTTCAATAATACCTGCTTGATATATATATATATATATATATATATATATATATATATATATATATATATAATTTTAGCTCTTAATATTTAATAATGGTTAATAGGAAAGAAAAGAACACAAGGAAGAATGTGATCAGGAGGAAAAGGAAACTGTGAGATAATAAAGGGAAGAAAGGAAAAAGCATGTGAAAGAAAGAAAGAAAGAAAGAAAGAAAAAAGAAAGAAAGAAAGAAAGAAAAAAGAAAGAAAGGAAGGAACAAACAAACAAACAAAAAGAAATTGGTCAAAAGAAAAACACGATTGTAATATAGCAACAACTCTAATTAGAAGCTTATGAAGCTTTATTTTACTAATTCAGCTTTAGCGCTGAAAAACGTTTATTTTATTCTGATGGATGGTTACAAGCAAGAGGGGAGATGAGATGTGTTTATTTCATTACCACAGCGACGAAAAGAAAGAAAGAAAGAAAGAAAAAGAAATGATAAATAAAAAAAAATTGGCCCCCAAAAAGAAAGCGATGAAAAAAGGAAGACAGAAAAAGAAAGAAAGAAACAAACAAACAAACAAAAAAAAAGATAATTGGTTAAAATGAAATGATAAATAAAAAGAAATTGTTCAAATAAAGAAAGCGATGAAAAACGAATTAAAGAAAGTAAGAAAGAAGGAATTAAAGAGAATTGGTTAAAAGAAAGAAGAAGAAAAATCAATGAAAGGAAATGGTAAATAAAAAGAAATTGGTTAAAATAAATAAAGAAAGAAAGAAAGAATGAAAGAAATAAGAAAAAAATTGGTCAAAAGAAACAGTCATGAAAAGAAAGAAAGAAAGAAAGAAAGAAAGAAAGAAAGAAAAAAGAAAATGATAAATAAAAAGAAATTGGTCAAAAAAAAATAAAGTGATGAAAAGAAAGAAAGAATATGATAAATAAAAACAAAATTATTCAAAAGTAACAAAGCGATGAAAAGAAAGAAAGAACATGATAAATAAAAACAAAATTATTCAAAAGTAACAAAGCGATGAAAAGAAAGAAAGAAAGAAAGAAAGAGATAAATAAAAAGAAATTGGTCAAAAGAAAGAATAAAAAAGCAGAAAGTAAGGATATATGATAGCTTTAAGAACAGACAGGCAATTAGGTACCAACACAGGTACGTAGTAATACGTTGGAATGTATGTAGTGTCGTCCGGTTTGATCATGTAGGTATGTAAGTAAGGGCAGCAGATGAGGGTGTTAGGTGTAGGGAGTGGCGTGGAAAGCTATATTGTTGGGCAAGTGGGCAGGTGGGTGGTTAATTCAGGTGTAGGGTGGGGTAGTCAACCGCATACCAGAGTGATGAGTAATTGAGTAAAAATGGATCGGCTGACAGACAACAGTTTAAAACTCCCCGTGAGGCCAAGTTACGGAAGCACAAAAGTTCAATAAACAACTTCTTGAAGAAAACGTTTTACAGTCTGGGTCATCAAATCTATGGTAACTTAAAAAATTATTTTACTTCTGTTTGAGTGTGCGTTCAGGTCACGATAACTTCATAGAAGAAAATAATAACCCAGTCCTTCTTAATTCTGTTTTATTATCAAATACTACCTGGTGCTTCCCAGACATCAACCTTGACAGGGTTCAAAAACGTTTATGAAAAATTATGTGAAATTATTTTCCACCCTACAGCATTTATATCGCTATTTCTATGGCAAATGTTCATACTAGCTACTTTCCTTAGTTCCACCAGTTCAGGCCTTTACATCTAAGCGTCTCTCTACTTTATCGCTGTATCCATGGCAAATATTCAGACGAGATACATTCCTTGGTTTCAGCAGTTCACACCTTCACCGTCATACCACGTGCACAGGGTCGACTTATCATCATTCTCTTAGTATTCCATTGGTAAGGAAGAAGCTCCACTTAGACAGCATCTTCCATAGAACTCTTACTTTGTGGAATAGATTCTCGAGAGTATGTTTTTCTGACCGCTACAATCTTAACCTTTTCAAGTGTAGAACCAAACGTTATCTATCCTACATATCCTCATAAATAGGCGATTCTCTTCTCTTTAAGCCCTTAACCTCATTTTGTTCTCTAATTTGAGTGGCCTTGAATTGGATGAATAATAGTATAAACATATCTACACAGGTCTCGTCACTGGCATGTCATGAGATTTGATAAAATTAAATATAAGTATTAGTAAAATTGCATTCTGATAATTGCCTTACTTATGGAGACCGCAACATAAAAATCTGTTCGTTGTACAACATTGACATTGGTTATCTTTAGAATTTTAGGAAATAACAACTGATCTCTCTAGTCGTGTTTGAATATTATGATACCAGACGAGACATTGCACGCAACTAACGTAAGACATCACCGGAGGTTTGACACTGTAGTCAGCCCCAACCGCCAAATGCAGAGGTGCTTGACCTCATACCTGCGTTCGGAATTGCAAGCATGTGAAAGAGAATTAAATAATTAGGCAGTTTCTTCATAAATCACACATGAAGAATTTAAGTATCGGACGAGAGACGTCCGGTGCCGCTTACATACAACAGACTGTATAAGAATAACTGAACAAATATTGGAGTGAATAAAATGCTATGCAATAAATATTCAAATATTATTATACCATTAATAACGACTTACCCACTTCATTAGATTTGATAACCCATATAAACACTTATAACTTTGCCAAATATTAACATCACATAATATGAAATATTTTATTAGTATGGCATTTCATTGTTTTAGCTTTATCTCATAATTAGTTTAGAAAATAGCTGTATGCTCTCCATCGTCTACTACTATGCAGTTCCTATTTTCTTCAAGACTTCCGAATTGCTCTCATGTTCTGTCCATATTATTCTTAGTGTTCGTTGGTAGAAGTACATCTCTATCGTTTCAGTTCTCATTCAGATTGTAAGTATACCTTTCTTTGTAGTTCCTATTTTCTTCAAGACTTCCGAATTGCTCCCATGTTCTGTCCATATTATTCTTAGTGTTCGTTGGTAGAAGGTCTCTGTCGTTTCAGTTCTCATTCAGATTGTAAGTATACCTTTGTTTGTTTCCTATTTTCTTCAAGACTCCCGAATTTCTCCCATGTTCTGTCCATATTATTCTTTATTCGTTGGTAGAAGTTCTCTGTCGTTTCAGTTCTCATTCAAGAAGTATACCTTTCTTTGTAGTTCCTATTTTCTTCAGACTCCCGAATTGCTCCCATGTTCTGTCCATATTATTCTTAGTATTCGTTGGTAGAAGTACATCTCTGTCGTTTCAGTTCTCATTCAGATTGTAAGTATACCTTTCTTTGTAGTTCCTATTTTCTTCAAGACTCCCGAATTGCTCCCATGTTCTGTCCATATTATTCTTAGTATTCGTTGGTAGAAGTACATCTCTGTCGTTTCAGTTCTCATTCAGATTGTAAGTATACCTTTCTTTGTAGTTCCTATTTTCTTCAAGACTCCCGAATTGCTCCATGTTCTGTCCATATTATTCTTAGTATTCGTTGGTAGAAGTACATCTCTGTCGTTTCAGTTCTCATTCAGATTGTAAGTATACCTTTCTTTGTAGTTCCTATTTTCTTCAAGACTTCCGAATTGCTTCCATGTTCTGTCCATGTTATTCTAGCATTCCTTGGTTGTTTGTTTTCATCTGTGAAGAAATTGCCCAGTATTCCCATCCATATAGAGGCACCTCGACGCGGTGTAATGCTTAGCAAGCTTGTCTCGCTAAGGCAATTACGACTGAGTAGTGAATTCGATCCTCATTGGGTTCCCTTTACTCTCGGCCTTGTGCCACATCTAAGCTACGCTTGGAAAATCACTATAGGAGATTGGATATTACATAGCACTTAAGCACTCTATTCCTTGTTAACGATATTTTTCAGCCTCTTAATACTTTGCTTAGTTTATGTGAGACATCTTTCACTGTTCCTAGGCACCTTCTTATTACAGTGTCACATTTCCCTAATTTGTTACTACCCTACCCAGATAGTTACATTTCCGCACCTGTTTAATTTTGACGTCCCTGATACGTACCTTGCAACAAGAACTGTCTCTTTTGCTAACAACCATGCATTCTGCGTTAC